AACAACAATAACATTTTAGATAGCCCTGTCAGATGTGTCATTGGTGGCAAGACATCTGAGTAAAGATTTGAATGAAATACAAGTGTGAGCTCTGCTGAGAGAGCTATGTTCTGAGAGGAAGAACATTCCAAAAAGAGGGAAAAACAAGAGTAAGGTTTGAGACCTAAGCATGGTTAGCATGCTCAAGGGGCAGTAAATAAAGCTACTTGTCTGGAAGAGAGGGAGTGAGGTGAGAGTGATACAAGGCAACACGAGGAAGTCTGGTGGAATGGTGAGCAAGGCAGGGGTGTGTCAGCCATGATAAAGAATGGATTCTATTCTGATTGAAATGGGAGCCATTAGAGAGCATTGAGTAGAAAAATTATATAATCTAAAACCATATTTTGAAAGGATCCCACTGGCTGCTACATGGAGAATATTAGATTTTTGCAGATAAAAGAATTTGAGCCTGTCTGGTAATCTTTCTCTAACTTTTTAGCCACTGAGCCCTTTGTCTGAATGACACCTGATGACAAGCCCTACATATATAATAGAAAAAAGCCCAACTTACTTTCCGAAAATAGTTTTGAATCATTGGGAAAATAAAGTTTTGATTTTACCATTGTATTTGGAACATCCATGGACACCTTAAATTGGACTATGCCCAACCCAAAATAGCCACATATGAACTCCATAGACCAAATGTTCTTCCCCATACATTCAATATTGTTAATAAGAAAAATGAATGATGGCTTTCAGTTGCCTAGCACAATTAATTTTCAGTACTCTCTTTTATTATGTCACTTGAGTTTGTTCTCATTACATAAGAAACAATCTAAGCCAGTCACTATGAAGTTTACACACCTTAAAGCTGAAAGTTTACAAAGATGAGCATTTGGTACTTCTTTGTTCAGTCAATATGCTTTTAAACAAAGGAGGTAATGTCTTCTGGAAATTTAGACCATATTTCTGTGTCTATATTCTGTATTTTTAATAGCAAATATTATTTTTATGCACTGCATTATTTTATTTTTTATGAAAAGATGAATCTAGCTTGTCAAACTGGGTTGACTATCAGCTAATTTTGAAGTTTTTTCTGCAAGACTTCCCTTGGTACATATAGATTTGGTACATAAATACAGATGTCAGGACAGAGGTAGGCATAGGTATGTGCATACATAAATGCATATTTCAGTGATTCATTTCATAAAAAAATTCGTTCTCATGTTAAGGAAATACATTCGTATATAGTTTTTAGTTTTACCTAATTATCAACAAATATTGTTATGTGCCGTCAAGTTGGACATGACTCAAGGCAACCCCTCCTTAGGTTTCCAAGGTAGTATCACTATGGAAGTAGATGGCCCAACCTTCTTCCAAGGAGTGGCTGATAGATTTGAACCACCAGCCTTCTGGTTAGCAGTCAAGTGTCTTAGGCACTGTGCTACCAGAGCTCCAACTAGGTGCTAGGTGATATGTTGTTGTTGTTGTTGTTATGTGCCATTGAGTTGGACCCGACTCATAGTGATCCCTCCTTGGGTTTCCGAGGCAGTATCATTACAGAAGTAGATTGCCCATCTTCCTTCCGAGGAGTGGCTGGTGGGTTTGAACCGCCAGCCTTCTGGTTAGCAGTCAAGTGCCTTAGGCACTAAGCTACCAGAGCTCCTAGGTGATATGTTAGTGTACAATTAATGCCACAGAATTCCTCCCCCACACAGTGACTTATCATTATAAAACCACAAATCTTTTTATGCTCACATGAAATCATTTTCTTCCAATAATTTTAGCACAAATGCCCTTCGATTTCCATGAAAGGATCTTATAAAATGTCACTCTGAATATCCATTGTGAAAAATTCACATGCAAACACATTGTTTTTCTTGACCTACACATCTTTCTGACTAGAGTATACTAAGTTATACACACAGTTTTCCTTAAAAGCTGACTCCAGATCCCAAGTGCCCACCAGATACTGGGATGAGAATCCTACCCAGTGATACTAGCCACCCAATGGGTGTTATGTCCATTTATCCTGATCAAGCTTCACACATAAGACTCATACACAGTGCTGGCCATAGTGGAAGCCATTTTGATTACAGACAACACACAATGTACAACAGGGACAGGTCCATCATGAGAGATTCTCCCAGCTCAAAACCTGTCTGAGCAGGATGGAAAACCTCCATGGGTGTCCTCTTTCTCTGCAACATGGACCAAGGAGTCCAAGGATCTTCCCACACCTGGTTTTATCTTTTGGAGGTTACGTATTTCACCACACAAAATGCAGTGTACTTTCCCTTCACTCAAAGAGGGGAGTAGTCAACATGGGGGTGCCAGGCTACAAGTGTTAGCCTAGAATTGTATCTCTTTAGCTGTGCTGCTTATTTTTACAAATGATTAGCCTTCAGAGGGGAAGGTGCAATGGTTTGTCCCAAGCCCAAAGATGCTAACGGCGGGGAAGGAACTGGGAGTAACTATAGCCATCTGAGCAATCCGAAGTATAGCCTCCTCTCAGATATATTAGAAGACAAATTATTGAATCCCAGAATATGATATAGTCCGGGGGTGGGGGGTGCTACCTAACAGAATGATCTTCTACAACCAGCTGAGACTGACTACTTCCTTCCTTGTCAGTGATCTCTATAGTTAATGTGACTGAATGGTAGATGTCTATCCTTGATATACATTGGAATTACTTTAGAAAGAATGGCAATGAACAAATTACACTTTGTGCGATAGCATCTTTCCTCAACAAACGTACGCCTTTTAAATTTTCTACTAATTTTTAAATCCCTCAAATTAAAGGAAAATATATAATTTTGGTATGTCCTAAACAGTTACTTTCTCTGTAAAATCAAAAGCCACTTCAACTAAAAATTCCTGCCCCTTTCTCATATTTTAATACTTGATAGGAAACTAGGAAAACTTAAAACACTAATAAGAAGAAAAGAGCCAAAGAAAAAGAAAAGATTGCAGCTGTACATAATTGTAACAGCTTATAAAGGCAAAAAGCAACATGTCTTGAGCTTGGCATTTTTTATGATGGGAAAAAAATATGTGTGTAGATAATTATAAATTTCTTACAAAGTCTGAAGATGGAGATTTTCTTTTTAGTAATTATATGCTATAAATATTCATCTTCAAATTAAAAATGAAGAGAGATGATCAAGTAAGTTCCACATAGTTGCCTAAATTCTTAATAAAGGTTGATTCATGACATAAATAGAATAAACAAGAAGTTTTCATCTGTTTCAACATTCTTGATAATAAATATCTTGGCTTGATATAAATTTAAAACAAAATTCCAACCCAACTTGATAAACATATCCTTTATGAACTTGATTACTTCTTTTTAAGATCAGATTTAAATAGCTTCTAATAATTTAGACCCCACTAAGAAGCAAAAGGAGTCTTCAGGGTTGTAAATGGTTCACATGCTTGCAAGGTTGGAGGTTTGAGTCACCCAGAGATTCCTTGGGAGAAAGGTCTAGTGGCCTCCTTCCCAAAAACTGGCCATTGAAAACCCTATAGAGGGTAGTTCCATTCTGACACATGTGGGGTCACCATGAATTGAAATGGATTTGACAACAACAGCTTTAGATGACAAAACTTAATTTTATTAAGATAAAATGTGTTGTTTAGTACAACTCACTAGTTGTATTTTAACCAAAATAATTAACTGAAATAATCTCTTGGAGATGGTATAGCATTGTAAATTAATAACCTGAACATTTCTTTTTCCTAGAGCAATCATGATAATTACATATGTGTACTACAAAGTCTCTAGTCCCTGGAGAAGAATATCATGATTTAAAGTGAAGTAGGTCAGAAAAAAAGGGGAAGATCCTCAAGGAGATGGATTGACCCAGTAGCTGCTACGATGGCCTTAATTATAGCAACGATTGTGAGGACTGTGAGGATGGCTCAAGACTGGGCAGTGTTTCATTCTGTTGTATATAGGGTCGCTATGAGTTGGAGCCAACTTGACAGCACTTCACAGCAATAACGTGACAGTTTAGTTCATGTCCTTAAATTGTATTTTTACTGAGCCTGTCCTTTTAAATCTCTTACCATGATATAAATTGGTAATTCCATGCTCTTTAATGGCCCCCACAATAAAAATTTAAAAAAGTATACACGCATGAATACTTTTTTTCATCTTATGTTGTTATTCCCATAGCTAATAATTTTACAAATAAGAAAAAATTTCTCAAAATAGACTTGTCTTCCATCAATTTCAGTGTTAAAAATTTTACTTCTTTTCTTGCTAAGATGCCACTCTTGGTCTCCTTAAGATTTCTCCAAACTTCTCTTCTTAAATACTTATTGAGTTCTGACTCTGTTTTAGGTACTCCTCTAGTCCTTGTGGGTTTCTCCTCTTCCATTGGTCTTTAGGTGATTCTGTTCTTAGCCCTTTTCCCCCTTGACATTAAGGAAGAAATCTAGGTTGCCAATCAAGGTTTTATCTTGAGCCTCAGATTAGATATCTCCCCCTGGACCTTCCTCAGCTCAAAGTACCAAATTGGAATTTATGGTCTTCCTCAAATCCTGTGTTTCTTCTTCTTCTATCAGTTTGTGATAGCTCAGTCCGTCAGTGATCTTTGTTAAACATGATTTCAATTGTGACGTTCCCCTGTCACACACACACACATTAAAGTTCTGAGGTTTGAAAAACTTGAGTTAAAATGGAACAATCACTACATCAACTGGATCCAAATTACATATTAAAAAAAGAAATGTTAGTGGTGAGTCGCAAAATCATCTAACTGGTCTAGTTAGTCTACTAGTAAGACCTCAGTGGTTAGTGTAGTGCCTAAGGCATTTGACTGCTAACCAGATGGTTGGTGGTTCAAACTCACTAGTCACTCTTTGGAAGGAAGACTGGGCAATCTACTTCCATAGAGATACTGCCTTGGAAACCCAAGAAGGACTCCTATGAGTCGTATCCAACTTGACAACAGTGAATTTGGTTTTTTTGTTTTGTTTGTTTTGTTAAGAACTAGGGCACTTGACTGCTAACCAGAAGGCTGGCGGTTCAAACCCACCAGCCACTCCTCGGAAGGAAGGTTGGGCAATCCTACTTCTGTAGTGATACTGCCTCGGAAACCCAAGGAGGGGTCACTATGAGTCGAGGCCGACTCGATGGTACATAACAACAACAACAACAATTTCTCAGTATATTTTGTTTAATGTTAAGCTATAGATATGCAAATAGGTAATACAGGTAGAAAAATATTCATGTAACAGATACATTCTCAATAGTTTCAAGATATGAGAAAAACAAATACAAAGAAAACCTTTCTAAATTATTTTCACATTTTTAGGTATTCTGTTGATCGTCACACAGATATGGACCGAATATTCAACATTGATTCTGGAAATGGTTCCATTTTTACATCAAAACTTCTTGACCGAGAAACACTGTTATGGCACAACATTACAGTGATAGCAACAGAGATCAGTAAGTCTAACCTCATACTGCTCCTGTACCCGATTGAAAGAATGACTGTGCCAGCAAAGACTTGTGGAGCACTGGTGAAACTCCTCACCATGTATTGATGACCCCACTCAATATTCACTGAGGAAAGAGCCTGGCAATAATTTGCAGTAATGTTTCTTCTAGACTCATGTTGGTTTATTCATAAATAGAGGGAAACTGTGGAATTTCTGCAGCTTGGAAACAATACAATGGGAATGCATCTTGCAAATGAGATTGAGTTTGTACATGTTGAATTTGATTCCAAAAACCTTATAAATCAAAGCTCTACAAAGCCAGCTGAAACATGGGATCAATTATGTTAGAAATTGTGTGTGGGAAGGTCAACTATATGCTCAAAGGCAGGCATTATTTAGAAATCTTTTGGATATTCATCCCCAAGATTTCTATGGAATTTCTATTTCAAAGTCTTTAAAGTTAAGAATTACAAATTTCCACTTTTTCATGGTGCATGAAAGTGAGTTATACCAACCACAAAGTGATCGATAAAATATTTAGAACGGATTACCTTAGCAGTATCCCTGAAATTTAAGGCAAAGCAGAGTAGTGCCATAAGAGTGCTTAAATGAACATTATTTTAGGCAATGAAAATTGTGGGATCACAATGTGTGGAAGTACACGCATACAAGAAGGATGATCTTTAAAATCATTTTTAAAAGTTTCTTTAAAAATAAAAAAGCTTTCTGGCCTGTAGCTCATTTTTAGTTTTCATTTTAAAAGTCCTCAACGTTTTCAGATATGTTTGGATATCAAGTGTGAAATATCCCCTATCGTATGGTGTATTACAGCTGTATTCTTGGTTAACGTCACTCATGAGATTTAAAGTGGCTGACGGATAGTGAGTGGAACAATCTATAACTAATATGGGCAAAAAGGAGCATTGCTTTTTGATTGTGATAAGGACATTTCATTATAAATTTGTCAGGTAGGAATTTGCTTTTCTGAATTTATGTCATGGCACTGATGTGGATAGCAGTGACAGAACACACTAAAAGCTTTAAAATTACAAAATTATTGCCCACTAAAAAGGGTCATTTGTACAACATCATGAAATTTATTCAAGCTTTGTGTGTGTGTGTGTGTGGAGGATCTCATTCCCATTTATGTTGTACTGAAATAGTCATTTCAGAAGTGTTTTAAGCTTTGGGCCTGATAATTTCTGTTTTAAGATTTAATGTTTCTACGACTCATTTGAAAATACTGATGATTAAAGTATTTTAAAGGTTCAACTTCAGTCCCCCCTCCAGGGCTCTTGCACTTGCTGTTTTCTTGCTCCTTAAGAGCCAGAAATACTCACATGGCTTCATCTTCTTCATTCATGTCTCTATGCAAATGTCATTTCATCAGAGAAGCTGTCCTTGGTCACTCATTTAAAGCAGCCCCTCCGTCTCTCTCCATTTAATTTTTCCATAGCACTTACCATCATCTGACACATGATATGCTTGTGCTTACTGTTTGTCTACCCCTATTAGAATAAAGCTCCAGGAAAGAAGGAGTACCTGGTGGTGTGAATGGTTAGTGCGCTCCACTGGTATCAGAAAGGTTGGAGGTCTGAGTCCACCTAGAAGCCTCTCAGGGAGCTCTGGTGATGCAGTGGTTAAAGCATGTGGCTACTAACCAGAAGGCTGGTGGTTCGAACCCACCACCCACTCCACAGAAGAAAGATGGGGCAATCTGCTTCTGCGAAGATGTACATCCTTGGAAAGCCAGTGGGGGTCTCTATGAGTCAGAATCAACTCAATGGCTGAGTTTGGTTTGCTTTGAGAGGTGACTTGAGAGAAGCTATTCACTTCTTAAAAACCAGCCATTGAAAACCCTATGGAAACAGTCTTACTCTGACACACATGTACTCACTGAGTCAAAATTGACTCAATGGCAACTGGCTACTAGTTTAGGAAGAAGGCTCTTCTTAGGTTTCCTATGTGTCAGCACCCACAACAGTGGCTGGCACATATTAGATGCTTACAGCATATTTGTAAAGTGAACAAATGAATGAACATATGAGTGCAATGAATAAACAGAGCTAGGATGAGAAGTCCCATCTCCCGATTTTTACACTAGGAATCTGTCTTCCACACTCAGCCAGAAATTGTCACAGGAGATAACTGAAATATTTCATTTATCTCAGTCATTAAACATTGATTCTGCTCTATCACTATTTTAGGTGAAGAACCTGGGCTTTGGAGTCAGGCAGACCCAAGTTTGAATCCAGACTCCAGTTATTACTAGCTCTGTGACTTGAAGAAGTTACTTAACTTCTCTGTGCCTCAGTTTCCTCATCTAAAAAATGGGACCATATCTGTATCTACCTCAAAAATTTGTAAGGGTTATATGAGATAATAGAGCCACGTATTTATCATGATGTCTAGCTCTTGTTCAACCCTCAAACTAAAGCACTGAAGAACAATAGCAATCCTTTGGTTTTCTAGTGCTTCACCCACCTCTCCCACTCCACCTCCCTTCACCCTTCTTCTGTCCACGTTTTCCCATCTGCCTATTTCTTTGACTTCCTTTCACATCTGCCTCTAGAATGCCTCTTCTGGGTAGCTTTTGTTTATTTTGTGCTATCCTTGTGTTTATTGTGTAATGGTCCACCATCCGTCTGTTGGTTTGTCCTACTGTGGTGGCTGATGTGTTGATATGATGATGGAAGCTATGCTACTGGTATTTCAAAGATGAGCAGGATCATTCTTGGTGGATGGATTCCAGCAAAACTTCCAAACTAAAACTAACTCAGAAGAAAGGCCCGACAACCTACTTCCAAAAATTGGTCAATGGAAACCTTATGGATCCAGTCGACACAGTGCTGGAAGATGAACCTCCTGGGTTGGAAGGCATGACACAATAAACACAGTAACAGAGTCAAACATACAAATGATCATTAAGATGGTGTATACCTGGGCAGTGTCTTGCTCTGTTGTACGCAGGGTCACCATGAGTCAGAGCTGACTTGACAGCAACTAACAACAGCAGCATTATGCAGTTGTACTATGTCAACACCCACAGCTTTGTTTCCTAGGTATTTCCATCAGGTGTATCAAGAATACTCCAGAAATATCAAGCAATCCAATCCTACTTTCTGTGTCCACCTTAACCCATGCCACTCACGGAAGATTGGAGAATCTCTGCATGAATGAGAATGAAGGAGTGATGCATGGTGTCTGCCGGGAATTAGTGACCAACATATAAATGCATTTTCCTTCCTTTTGGCGTGTTGCAGATAACCCAAAGCAAAGCAGCCGAGTGCCTCTGTATATTAAAGTTCTAGATGTCAATGACAACGCCCCAGAATTTGCTGAGTTCTATGAAACCTTTGTCTGTGAAAAAGCAAAGGCAGACCAGGTGAGTTTCATTAGAAAGAACATTCAGATGTAGAGTCAGATTAATTTAGCTCTTGATACACAGAGCTGAGAGTGAGTTTTGAATTATCTATGAAGTGAATGTTAAGGAAATTAATACTATAAACAAGAACCAGGATTAATGTTTAACTTGCTTAAGAGAACAAACAGTTTTTAAGAACTTGGAAGTTCATTGTTTGAAAGACTGATGCTGATTCAGTTGTCATTAAAACAGGTGGTCATAGCTTCATTGGAAAAATATTTATTGGTAAGGAGATGGGTTTAATTACCATAAATACTTGGAAGTAGTATCTGGGACATATTTCACAATCGTCTGTCATTGATATTTTCACTTATTTACATTGTACATTCATACCAGTAGTACTATGAATTCAATGTTTTACACATGTGGTGGTGCAGTGGTTAAAGCATTGGCCTTCAGCCTAAAAGTCAGTGGTTCAAACCCATAAGCAGCTCCGCAGGAGAAAGCTGTGGCAGTCTGCTTCTGTAATGATTGACAGCCTTGGAAACTTTAGGGCAGTTATACTCAGTCCTACTCAGTTGCTATGAGTTGGAATTCAACTCAACAGTGATGGGATTCCCATCTGAAATAGATGCCAGTGATAGAAGAATTATGTTACAGTTTGTCAAAATATGTGCACTGTTAAGGCACAGGTGGAAGCAGAAGCCAAATCTACTATAGTTCACATGCCCACTTCCCTTATAACTTTTCTGAAAGTCAATGACTTATGTCTCTGCCAAGACTACATTTCTAAAATGGCTGTCCAAATAGTGCCTCCATTTTGTGAAGCTGCACTGTTGTCAACAAATCCAGACTTAGATAGGGAAAGATTTTATTCAGAAAAAAAGACTACTGCATGGGTGAAAAGGACATTGGAGGAAGGGGTCTGTTGCAATGGGGGGAACACTCTGACCATAAGATCAGCAAGCATCTCAAGAGTAAGGCAACAGGAGTTTGTCTTGTTTAGAAGTGAGAGCAAATGAGATGAAGAAGAGCCAGGTGTGGAGAAGCTGGATGAAATGATTGTGTGATCAGTTAGTAAATTAGACAATGTTTCACACTGGAGCCAGCCTGTAATTTTCAGTGAAGGACCCTTAAGGAAGGGTTCTATGTTGGCTCTGGCTGAGGGTGGACCAAAATGCAGCAACCTGGGAAGAAAGAGAAGCTTTACCAATGTTTCCTTAACAAGCATTTTGTTTCTCATTCACCAGTGGGGACGAGCAGTTCAGTCAATCTTTTATGAGGCCAAGAATGGGAATTTGGAAGGTCTTTGTCTGGCCTTGTCATGGGTAGACAAGGGGCCATCTATGAGTCGCACCTAAGTCATATGGGGAAGGGTAGTGTTTTCAGCAAGCTTTTCCCACAACACAGAGTGTGGGGAGATTTCTTTAAAGGTTGCCAATTCCAACATCATAGAGTTCAGGCAAAATTCAGCATTAATTGCTATGGATCATTGTGATATTTTAAAGTTTCTATCACTTAGAGCAGTGTTACTCAGCTGGGAGTGATTTTGGCCCCCCAGGGATATTTGGCAATGTCTGGAGACATTTTTGATTGTCACAACTAGGAGAGTACAACTGGTATGTAGTAGACAGCGGCCAGGAATGCTGGCAAACATCCTGCAATGCACAGGGCCTCCCCCAGCCAAAGGCTATCCCCTGCTGTATCATCTCCTAACCCATCAGTCCTTTGAAGAGAATGTATTCATTGCAGAGTTTCTTTAAACTATCATTTTTTTAATAATTAATTTTATTTTTGTTTTGTTGAGTAAGTGATCAATTTTAAATTCAAAATTAAAAATCATTTAGCCAAGCAAGTTACTACAAAACAGCAAAATATACTTTTGAGTTAGCAAAATTTTACTTAAGCTTTATGGCTTTCTTTTAGTTGATTCAGACCCTACGTGCCATTGACAAGGATGATCCTTATAGTGGGCACCAATTCTCGTTCTCTTTGGCCCCTGAAGCAGCCAGTGGCTCGAACTTCACCATTCAAGACAACAAAGGTAAATGAGTGCAACTTATCTGCTCAGTCCACACAACTCTATCCACCTGTTCCTATCACAGTTGATCCACCATACATGGTGCCCCACCCACATACATTCACCACTTTGCTTTTTGGTTCCAGACAACACTGCAGGAATCTTAACTCGGAAAAATGGCTATAACAGACAAGAGATGAGTACCTACTTCCTGCCGGTGGTCATTTCAGACAACGACTACCCAGTCCAAAGCAGCACTGGGACAGTGACTGTCCGGGTCTGTGCATGTGACCCCAACGGAAACATGCAGTCCTGCCATGCGGAAGCCCTCATCCACCCCACGGGGCTGAGCACAGGGGCTCTGGTTGCCATTCTTCTATGCATCGTGATCCTACTAGGTAAACTGGTTCTCCCCACATCCCATCTCCCCATGGTGAGGGGCACACACTGTAACTGTGACACTCTAGATTTGTCTGCCTCCCCCAGTAAGGCATACAGCCTGATCTAGGTGAGTAGAGTTACGTGTTGAGAATCTGTGTTGTTCGATTCTGCATTTGTTTTTTGCTTGAAAAATGGCTTTGGAGACTGAACAGATGTGAAACTTGTCCATGTCATTACCTAGCTGCGGAATCCTTCCTCCAGGAGAATCTGTTGTCTATCAGAATCCTTGAGGATGAATCTCAGAGGGATTTGAAAGCAATATGAATATACCCTTTTTGTTTCATTAGTTGCTTAATATTTAATCTGGTGAAACATTGTGCAATTTTAATGAGTGGAAGTCATTGAGCACGGAGTATATGATGAAGGCTCTTTCTACAAAGGTAAAGTTTAAAGATCAATGTGAAAGGGGAAGGAGGCGTGTGATGACTTTTTCTCTCTCATACAGGAAAATAAAGACTATGCAATTTTCTTTAACTCAGCAAATTTATTTTGACCTACCCATTTAAGTGATTGCCTTTATAGCTCCCTGGAGGCCACAAATGTGATGTCTCTTGAAAATAAATAACTTTTGTGATGGAGATAAATCTGAAATACACAAGAAATGAATGTGATGACAGAGAAAATCAAGGTCTAACGATGATTCCAATGAAATTTTCACTCCCAGCAAAGTTATTAATCACCCAAGTTGAACTCCAATTGCTTGACAATTCTCTGTCCCTTTGTGAACTAAAGAATCAAATGTGAGTTAATGCAGCCCTTCTAAAAATAACAGAAAGATTTGAAAAGCTTATCTACACAATGGGGAAAAAAAAAGTAAGGAGTAGGATTAATGTGGATTACACAGAAGGGAAAAAACTCTTCTAAAAATGAAGACCTGGTGGCTTTGAGAATAAGGGAGGATCTACATTTCTCCAAGAAGAGAATGCCCGGGGATCCCTGAGGAAGCATTTCACATTCCAGATCAACTTTGCTAATTATAACAGAAGCCTTGGAACGTGACTACAGAACTGTGATTCTCTTTGTCAACCAAGATTTGAGGGATGTATTTTAAGATATGAGGATAAATAACAACTGACAGTGTGCAAAGACAAATCAGCGTTTTTAATGGTGTGAGTCTGTAAAGATCATTTTGGAAAAGGAGGGTATGAACGTTCTTTTTTATCAAAAAGGTTACATTTTTAGAAGGCCGTAATTCTAGAAGTCCTGGTTTGGCAAAACTGTACTCAGGTAATGTTCTGTGAACTCTCGTTATGTCTGTGGAAGGAAAGCCAACTCCCATTTGATAAAGATGACTCCTGCTTGGCTTCCCTATCTACCCATTCCATTTTCTCCTTCCTCTTCCCTTCCTCTTAACCAAGTCGTTTTATCTGCTCTTTTCAGAGCTTTGCAGAAAAAGAAAGCCACATTGATATACAAGAAAATGTGGAGTCAAGAAAGTGAATCATATGGCATCTTGTATTTTACCAAAAAAAAAATAATAATAAAACAGTAAAAACAACTATGACATCTCACTTCTATATGGTGCTTTATTAACTCGTTCCTTACAACACTTAGCTTAGAAGGGTCCGATCATTTAAGTTAACTTATGTCTTCTGATCTCAAATGCCCATCTGCCTCCCAGTTTTATGGGATTTGAGTACTTATGTATCCAAGTACCCCACTCCAAAAATATAACAAACACAAAAACAACCTTACTGCTGCCCTCTGGTGTCAAGGGGCAGGGAAAAGGGGAGATTCCCGTCCCAGTGAGGGCTTCTCATCAGTGTATCTCACTTATCAGAACGTTTCTTCTCCACATGCTTAGAAATTATGTTTCCAGTTTTTGAAAGTTAGCATTGAGAAATGTCTCCCTTTTAGACAGTTAAACTCTCAGAAATTCTGTTCAGATGTGCATAGGGTCAAATAAAAAGAGATATGGGAAATTTTAGCTGTGGAAGAATTAAGCAATAAATAAATGCCTTTGATTTATGGAATGTGGCCTCTCTCTTCTAGACAATTGCACTCTCAAGAAATCACTTCAGATGTGCATAGGAAAGCTATTGGACATTTAAGTTACAGGAGAATTTGGAAGTGATAAAGGCCTAACCTACCCATTTGCCTTAAATTACTGAATGAACCTGTGTGCATCAAGGTTTAATCCTTTGAGAGACAGTTGGCTTGATTCTGTTCTCTAATCCCAATGACCATCCTTAGTTATAAGGATGGTTGTAAATTCAGGTCATTGTTCACATTGGAAGTCAGCATGAATTGAAGATCGTGGGCCTTCATCTCCCCAAAGCCTTACAAGGCTCCCCACTACCCCAGCTCCTTCTCATCCAGCCACATGGTCTCTTAGTTATTCCTCAAACACCCTGGCACATTCTCACACAGAATCAACCCTAACTCTCCATGCTGTCTGGAACACGTCTTTGCCAGATAGCTCTTTCAGTAACTTCTCATGTCTTTGCTCAAATGTTCCATCTTCAATGATGCAACCTCTCCCTCAAAACATGTACAATCAATCCCCCAACCATACACAGAATCACTCCCCATCCTCCTTACTCTGAACTACCTTTCCTTGTTTACATACCACTTATCACCTTAAAATAATTTCCCTAATTATTATTAATAAAATAATGTTCATTATTTTCCATCTTCATTCCCCATTAACTCTTTCAGGACAGGGCTTTTTATCTATTTTTATAGTGATAGTGCCTACAACAGTACTTGGCACAGAGAAGGCACTAGATAACTATTCATCGAGTGGGTGGATGGATGAAAACTCTGAGTGAAGGTGACAAATGGGGCATCATCTGGTGGCAAAGATTGTGTACAATTATGCAACTATGCTCTTGAAAATGGCAACATTGTACATTCTTTAGAAATATTCTATAATCCAACCATGCATCAAAGCATGGTCTGACCAGCCTAGATTTCGTCACATCTCTACTTGTGAATTCCTTACCCTTGGGACATCTCTAAACCTCAATTTTGTCTTATATAAAATGGAGTTATAATGATGCTACTAACTTTGTAGGGCTATTGGGATAATTTAAATGAAATTTAGTATGTAAAGGAGTCTTGGTGATGCAACAGTTAAACACTCAACGACTACTAATCAAAAAGTTGGTGGATCATACCCACCCAGTGGCTCCATGAAGAAAGACCTGATTATCTGCCCCTACAAAGATTACAGCCAAGAAAACTCTGGGGCAACTCTACTTGGCCACATGTGTTGGCTCTCTAGTGCAGCTATAAAAGAAATATCACAAGTGAGTGGCTTTAACAAACATAAATTTATTCTCCTACAGTATAAGAGGCTAGAAGTCCAAGTTCACAGTGCCAGCTCTAGGGGCTGGGAGGAGGCCCCTCAACATTGAGCTTCGGCTCTACCTCTTGTTCCAGGTCCACTGCAGCAAGCTGGAAGCTTCTCCTCACTTATGTAGCTACTGGCTGCTGAGGCTGATGAATCCAAGATCAGCAGATAAAATGACAGATTGTTGGCTATAAAGGCAATAATCCCAAGACTGGCAGGCAACATGACAGGCCACTGGTTCAAGTCCAGGAACTGGAGATGTAGACTGAATCAACTCCAGGATGCTTTCTGTATATAATGGAAACAGGCCACACCTCAAAGGCACAATTCTCCTCTAACTGATTAACTGCTCACAGTAGATTCCACCATGGAGGTGATTACACCACATCCAATCTCATCAGGGGGAATAACTGCATGCAACTGCTAAGCCACTCAAAATCATGGCCCAGCCAAGTTGTCACAGAATCTTAACTACAACAGGGTTGCTGTGAGTCGGAATCAACTCCACAGCACCTAACAACAACAACAGTATGTAAAATGCCTAGCACAGTGCTTGGACAAAGAAAGCTTCCAATAGATATAATCCATTATGATTGCTAAAACTAACAATGTCTAAAATTTTAATATATAGACACATGAGTGTGCATCTATCCATTATTATATATGTACAAAGCAACCAAAGCAACCATTGCTGTGGAGTCATACCCAACTCATAGCGACCCCTCCTTGGGTTTCCAAGGCAATATCACTACGGAAGTAGATTGCGCAACCTTCCTTCCAAGGAGTGGCTGGTGGGTTTGAACTGCCAGCCTTCTGGTTAGCAGTCAAATGTCTTGGCTTATATACATAACTCTTGTTGTTGTTGTTAGTTGCTGCAGAGTGGATTCTGACCCATGGTAACCCCATGTGTCCATAGAATTGCTTCATAGGGTTTTCAAGGTTGTGACCTTTCAGAAGCAGATCCCTAGGCCTTACTTTGGAGGTGCTTCTGGCTGGGCTTGAACCTCCAATCTTTCAGTTAATAGTCCAGCACATAATCATTTGTGCCATTCAGGGACTCTGGTATATATACAAACATGGTGAGAAGCCATTCTTCTGGAATTCTTATCGCAATAATTCAATATTCATGGCTCCTACAAATTGGGTCATAGTGTGGGTGAGATAATAAGGAGATATTCCTAGGATAAATTCCCCTGGACAAACCTACTTTACCACCATGTTTTGTGCCCGGGGTTCTCTCTTTGAGATGTCTATGTTTTTATTCTCCCAACCATATGTACATCTGCAGATGTTTTACTCTGCACAAAGCCAGGTGTGTTGTACCCAAATGCAAACAAACACAGGAGCCACTTAAGATCAATTCTTGCTTTCCCTCTAGTTTGGGTTTAGAGGAATAATTGGAAGAACAACCATTCTGGGTAATGAACATACAGAACATGAGCCTTTGAAAGACAAAAGAAGTTCTCACTGAAATTGTCTACTCTGTTCAGCTGAAACAGAAATCATCTGGTATATCTGGTATGGATAGAGTGATCTGTCCCCTTCCCGTTGGCTGAACTTGAAGCCCATGATGGCTTCCTGAACACTAATTGGGCCTCTCCAGGTATCTGCACCAAGGTTTCTTTAGAGGTAGAGAGAGATGCATTCACATCTCTACTTTGTGTTTTCAACTAATTTTACACTTTTAAAAGAAGGCATAGTGCAAAAGTTATTTTAGATGTGAAGTTATGCAGACCTTTCAACACATTCCCGAAGGTGCCAGCCTTGTCCTTAGAACCAGCATTTGAGGTGTTCAGCATAATTTGCACTCTTATTGCAGCACTTTGGCTGTGCTGGAGTTTTTATCTTTTCCTTACCTTGAAACCAGCCTGCCATTTCAAAGCAAAAAGGAACTACTGACAAAATGTGATGGTTTTTTATCACCTACTTAAAATGTAACCTTCTTAGGAATGTTTACTCCAGTTTTGGGGTCCTGGTTTGATCATGTTTGGAAGCAAGTAAATCTTGAAAGGAGTAAAGGTTGAGTCTGCAGTTTTCAAGGGGACTTTGAAAACTTCGCTTTCCAGCACGGTGTTTCTTCCTGGCATTAGTTGGGCGGCAGATTAACTTCCTGTTCCCTTTCTGTTTCGTTTCTGCTTCCAGTAACTGTGGTCCTGTTCGCTGCTCTGAGGCGGCAGCGGAAAAAGGAGCCCTTGATCATTTCCAAAGAGGACATCAGAGATAACATCGTCAGTTACAACGATGAAGGCGGCGGGGAGGAGGACACCCAGGCCTTTGACATCGGCACCCTGAGAAACCCCGAAGCCATAGAGGACAACAAATTACGGAGGGACATCGTGCCCGAAGCCCTTTTTCTACCCCGACGGACTCCGACAGCTCGTGACAACACCGACGTCAGAGATTTCATTAACCAAAGGTTAAAGGAAAACGACACGGACCCCACAGCGCCCCCCTACGACTCTTTGGCCACCTACGCCTATGAAGGCACCGGCTCGGTCGCCGATTCCCTGAGCTCGCTGGAGTCGGTGACCATGGATGGCGACCAAGACTACGACTACCTTAGCGACTGGGGCCCTCGCTTCAAAAAGTTGGCAGATATGTATGGAGGGGTGGACAGTGACAAAGACTCCTAATATGTTGCCTTTTTTCTTTTCCGATCTGACCCTGAGATAGGTGAAGTGGCTCTTTCTTTATATTTACCCACTGCTCTGTGCGGGGTTCTCTGCTCTTACCAGTTCCAAAAGTCAATGGCTGCAGTCTGTGTGGATCTATGTTAGAGACCTTTTTCTAGTACACTTTTATGAGCTTCCAAGAGGCAAATTTTTATTTTTTAGTGCATCCAGTTTACCAAGTCAGTCTAATAGGTACCCTGTTAGAGGAGAGCCCAGGGGGCAATATTTCCCCCCCAGTTCTCCTAGAATAAGTGTGGCACCCGATTCCACTGGCCTGGTATTTTTACTACATTTCATTGGCTTAGGTCAGATGACTGCTCTGACTGTACATTTCACATAGGAGTGGAGTGAGGAATTGTGCTTTAAGGGTAAAACTATCACTGAATTAAAAAAGAAAAAAAAAAGAAAAAAAATGAGGCAGGAACAGCAGGGAAGTTGTTCCTGGTTTATCAGCTCACAGAGAAATAATAAAACAATATATGGATCTGTGTTTCATATACAGTAAAACCTGCCAAAGCTGGAACCTGTGTAAGGTAGAAACCTGTCAGAGAAGGAAAATGCAAATATTTTCTACTACTAGAGAGCGATAGAAATTGGTGGGAAGGTGCCCTGTCAAGGCTGAAAACTTAGGGGACCCAGAGCAAGAAAGCAGGCCTGTGAAATTCCAGCTCTCATAGGGTTCACTGTACCTAAAATGACCTTTGCCATCCTATTTGGTCTTCAAGAAGTTTTCTGGCACCAACTACTGTTCAAAACATCAAATCCACCAATGTTTTAAGATTATCGTGTCTAGAAGTTGATTTAATGGTGACATTTAAAGAAAAATAGTGAAAGTCCATCACTTGCTGCTAACTCATAATTTGTCATGTATTAGACATGCAAAAGTTTGTCCTTGCACCATATGAGGGAAATGGGAAAATAGCTAATAACGTTAGCAAGGAAATATTTAGCTTGCTTTTAAGTTTGGGCCACCAGATGTATCACAGATCACTTGAAATTATTTCCACATCAGTAGGCTAATTACAGATAAGTCTAACTATTTAAAAAGTTCATGAAAGAACTGTTCCGAGACAAATTTTAACTCCTTGCCTGTAGTTGCTGTCAATATTATGCTTATCTACTTGAAAGTAGCAGTTTGAAGTACAATAATTCATGTTCTTCAGATACTTCTTACACAACTGAGATGAACAAGCAAAGCTAAATTAAGTAAAGCTCAAATTCTGCTCTCAAAGTCCAATGGAGAGGTAAAAGCCAGGGCATTTGAACCTGATAACCTAGCTTCATATCCGGGACTATCCATATAGTTATATAATGTGACACATAGAAACAGAAAACATTTGGGATCATGCAGAAAATCTACATATTACATGTGTGGGAGATGCTTAAAGAGGAAACGTTGGTTCTCTTCTACAAGAGTGTTTAAGATCATAATTAAAATGATAGCTGACTTTCAAAACCATTAGTTTTTCATTGTTTATAAGTTTGGTTCCATGGCAACTCTGCCATCATTGTCTTTGAACTAATGATAAAGGAATGGTCTCCAACTATGACAGAAAAGTAATGTAAAATCCAGCCAGTCTATTATTTCTCTCATTATGCATTAGCATCATAGTCAATTATTATCCAGAGGACCTAATGAACTGAACTAATTATTTGGCAGGTTCAAATCGTTCATTTCCTAAGGCTGTTCTAATGATTCTTATCATCAGGATCCTACATTGTGTGGTGATCAGAAATTTCCAAAGTACTGTAATGAAAACATCCTTGTTTTGAAAAGTGAAAAAAAACAGACTATGTATATAGAATATGTACTTAAGCATATGCTGACTTCATTTCTTAGTCTTAGGGATTTATTTTCAATTAATGTTAATTTTCTACGGATAATCTTCGGATTGTTTCCATTTGGAGATAATGTTATATTAGCACATACTTTGTATTTGGAAACACACTGTTGTTTACTTAAGTTTTAAAATAGGCATATTACCCAGGAAGTAACGACAGTACCTTCAAAATAAAAGAAATATACTATTTTTGGTTACCCAATTAGACAAGAGTGAAAAATTTTACAGTCATATTATTCCTTGTGTTTCCTAAATGGTTTTCTTAATGTGTAATAGACTTCCCTGTGTACTAACAAGATTTTCATGCTTGGGCCATTTCCTGCTTACAGGGATGTCTGTTTTTAGTTCTTTCTCTCTCTCTCTATTTCATGCACACACACACACGCACGCACACGCACACACATGCACACACACGTGGGAATGCAAACAACATACTGAAAGAGGGCTTCACTGCCATGAATTGATATGTGTCATAGTCATGGGTAAGTGTTTTTAAAAAATAGCCTAGTATGTCATTAATAAGAACTAGTTATTCATAGTAATAGAAGAGCACCTTAATCACACGATTAACTAAAGATTACACAGCTCTCTATCCTTATCTTCTTGTCATGGGACAAATTAAATCAAGAATGATAGTCCTTTAAAAAGAAAGATATCATCCATAGTCTTCATTCTGAACTTTTGGCGTTAATGGGAATTTCTTCCAATGTTTAAGGGAAGGTTAACTTTCTCCTTGGTGTAAAAGTAAATAATTCTATAGAAGAATATTTGAGATGTGATTGGCAGGATGTTTTAATCCCATTCTAGAAATGTCACAATATATCAAGACAGGCTAATATGACGAAATATTGAAATAACTGTTTCATTTTTTTGTTTGTTTTGCCACAACAGCTGATGATGAAATGACTCTCTTAAGAAAATGAATAATTTGAGACAGGCGCTGCATTAGTTCTACTTAGTTAGTGCCGAAAACCCTACAGAGCACTTCCACTCTGCACACATGGGATCGCCGTGAGTCAGATCGACTCAGTGGCAACTAACAAGTGCGAAAATTAGTAGGAAGGTTCTCTAAGTGTCAACTCTGAGTGACATTTTCCCATGATTAATACTCTTTGATGTCATGAAAAGAGTAAGAGTCATAGTTTCATTGTTCTCCTACATAGGTCTCACTCCCTTCCCACCAAGGTACCGTGAAATCAAACACCATTCGGTGGGCAGACTTTTTCTTTTCAGGTGCTAGATCCCAGGTCAATATGAAAGATTGCCAGGGAAATACTTGTTTTCAGCTCAATTTTCACTTTGTCTCTCTCCTTATGCCAGATGTTGGTGCTGAGAAAGATGGAAGGAGAGTGGAAAGAAGGAAAAATTCACTATTTGCTTTAATCCCTGAGAAATTTTAATTCATTAATGATAAGCAGATTGTTTTTGTGGGTTGTTTTAAGGGCTTCAAGGCCCCTGTGATTTTTTGCTGTTGTTGTCCTCTATATCAAGAGGAAGAGTTTCTTCAAAGCGCTAAGACATACCCTAAGATAAGCTGAAAACTTAAAGCAGGAAGTACCTTCGCTTCATGGTCCTTTCTGCTGAAAGGCATTCAGAATGGTGCCCCCGAAGAAGCCAATAAATCAAATGGGGGAGAAGAGAGGGAGCTCCACAAGAAAGGGAATCTGGGCACAGTAAATATACGGTTTGCTTTGGCTTTCCAGAGTTTTCCTGACTTTACGGTAAAAGTGCATAGAGTGCGGTTCAGATAAAAAATGACTCCATTTTCAGACAGAACAAAACCTGGCAATTCAATTTTAACTCAGTATAAAAATGTGTGGCTTAGTTTTCGTTTTCAGCTCCCAAAAAGTTGGGCAAAGGTTTTCAAAATTGAATCTGTATCTTGTATCTTGAAATCATCCAAATGATATGCAAACAAATTAACTTGAGAAAGTTTCCGTTACTTATTTTTAAGTATATAAATTTTAGATGTCCTGATTTGTGGGCAGTGCCTTCTAAGGGACGCTTCACCTAGGGATGAGTATTTTACTGGGGTATTAATATATAAACTATGAAGTGGTCATTCTTGGACTTTGTACACTGGAGACCCATAAAAAGTATGCAGTTGAAAGCAGAAGACAGAGTTGATGACTAGAAGCAAACTAAATCTTTAAACCAGGTTCTCATCCTTCATAGTGCAATTCATTTCCCCAGAGACAGAACCACCAAATGAATTCTTTCATCCCGATCTCTGGTTTTGAAGTGGTGGAAGTATTTTAGAAGGATACTCCAGAAAATGGAGAGCCTCACTATTTTGAAAGGTATCCTCTGACAAAGATGATTTTAGGGTGATTCTATTTTTTATGTTTTTATCTAGCTGAAATCTTTTCTTGAATGGTGACATTGTGACAAGAGAATCAAAATCCAAGCAGTCCAGTGTCCAACACTACAAGTCTGCCTTTTTTTTTAAAATCAGATCATAAGTATAGAGAGATTAACATTTGGTGTGTTGGTCTTTGGGAAGAGGAACTGTTTACAAAGCTCTGACATGCAGCTTTCTTTTCCAGAGGATACAGAATTACACAGTACGGTCTCCTTAAAAGTTCAGTGACTATTACCGTCACAGCATTTGTAATCTCCCTTTGGCATCTTTATGGAATAATTTTCTAAAGGGATAATTCTCTACTGAAAAGATGGGACCCAGACCATATTTAATGTGGAGAGCAATACCCTCTTAGGAAGGAAATACATTGGCTCACACACTCGTTCTAAGTTAATAAAGAAATAGCTCATGTTTAGAGGCAGAGGTTTATGGTCTCCGCATCGTCAATTTAATTTGAGCATTGCTGAGACAATCTTTAGCCTGCTCCCCATTTTGTAATACCTTATTTATGATGCATTTTCATTTCTTAATTTGGGGGGAACTTTACCCAACAGAGCCAGCAGATGAAAGTACTGAAAGGAGGTCACTGAAACAGAGGCTATTACCCACTGTATTTCAGACATGACTGAGGCACTTAGCTGAAGAGCTACTGGGTTATTAGATTAATTTTAAAGGAGCTTTTACAAGTTCCTTAATTCCATTTAAAAAAAAAAAAAATACCATGGGCCACAAACTCAGATTTCTCCTCAAATGGGGTT